AAGACTGTAAGGGGACACTGCCTTCTAGCTGTGGCTGCCCTTCTGGGCTCAGGGTCTCTCCCAGGGGGGAGGCAGGTTCCAAGAGCCCAGGAAAGGCCCTGCGGTGCCCAGCCAAAGGGCTTTCCATGCTCTCTCCTGCCCTGTCCTCTCCTCCAGGGCCAGGTCCTCACCAACCTTGACCCCCTCTCTCCACTGTGATTCCTAAACCAAGTAAATAAATCCCAGTGGCCACAGAGGCAGCCAGGCTAGACCCAGAGGGGAGGGACTTGGCACAGGAATTCCCAGGTAGGGAGATGATGTGGGGAGGAAGGTGACGCAGAGGCGTCAGGAATGGGTGATGCTTGAGAGCTCCCAGAGAGTGTCACCTTCCCAGCACACACAATACATCCACAGGGCCCTGGACTCGGCCCCGTGAAGGGAAAAGACTGTATCCCCACTCCATGGAGCAGCCTGCTTCAGCCCTGTCCAGCCCTCCCTCCTGCCAACCTCCACGAGCCGCTTCTGGAGAAGAAAGCTTGCTGGCTTTGATACCAGCACTCAGCCCAGGTCCCGACCTGGATCCAGGTGATGCCCAAGCATGGCTGGGAAGCCTCTGGGGCTAGCTTCTCATCTAGGCATCAGTCACCTTCTCAGCAGGCCTCCCCTGGCCACCCTAGCTAAGTCCCACCTTGTTAATCTCAGTTGCTGTACCAGTTCATTTCCTTGTTAGGGCCTTTACAATGTGTAACTAGATACACACTCATTTCTTTACCTGCCTCTTTGTTACTGTCTGTCTCCTCCATGAAGTACAAGTTCCCTGAGGTCAGCACTCCACTTCTGTGTTCACTGCATGTCTGTGCCAGGTGCTGGGCACACAGCAAGGCCCAGAGCGCCTCCAGTGAATGCATGGAGAGTTGATGACTGGCTTGGCACATGGGGCCTCTGGCTGCCAGCGTCACCTTTAGGGGTGATGCTCAACAGTTCCAGGATTTCCCCGAGGAGGACAGAGCAGGATATAACAGGAAGAACAACGTCAGGGAGCCTGGGACCCCAGGGGAAAGGTCAAGGCCCAGTTGGCATCCGCACCAGCCTTATCTGGTCCCCTTCATCGTGCCGCCTATGGACACAGGCATACTGCAAACACAGAGTGTGCACAGGTGGGCTAGTCTTGGAAGGCCTGAGGTTCTGTCCTGGTTCTTTCTCTTAATTACTCTGTCTTCTTACACAAACCACATACCTTCTATGGGCCTCAGTTTCCTCAAAAAAAAAATGAAGAGGTTGGCCCAGATCAGTGCTCTTCAAACACCGCTTTGCAGAATTACCTGAAGCACACATTAAAATCCACATTCCCAGGCCCACCCCTGCAGAGTCAGTCTGGAATGGGATTTGAGGATCTTATTTTTAACATACTCCCAGGTGACTCTGAAACAAACGGTCCAGACACTAGCATTTGAGAATCATGGATGACATGGTACTTGCCAGACTTCTATTAAAAAGTCACTCCTGCACAGGTATACACCCCCCGTCAAACATGTCGGTATACTCCATGCAGAGCCATAAATTGCAAAGGTGCACACCTATACATGACACACATTTGTACTACATGTGTGCATACTCCAAAAACACACGATGCAGAGCTACCACATGGATCACATATTACCACAGAACCACATGTACATACAAAGCCTGGGGGCATACACACAGACCCCCATCACACACCCAGTGGGCATGTACACCCGTCACACATTGACCCACGCTAAACAGACACTATGCTGAATTTATTTTGTCCCTGGGAACTGGTCCAGGACCAAAGGAGTTGTGCTCCACTGATGAAAACATCCCTCTGCCACCCCCACCACTACCTGTGCCCCAGGCAGCATGCTGTCTACCTAGGGGTAGGGCTGCTGGGAAGCGGGCAGCGGAGAGATGGGGTGAGGGAAAGCCTGCAGCAAGGACACCCAAAGGGGCCTCCACCCAGCACCCTAGTGAGGGCTTGCTCAGCCCACTCACCTAGACTCCCAGGCCCTGGTCCTCGGGAGCCAAAAGGGTTAGGGAGGTGGCCCAGTCTAGGGACTCCTCCTAACATGCAGGCTGAGGAAAGGGCTTCCTGCAGCCTGAAGGTCTGGGTTCCCCTGGGAAGGTTACCACAGAAACCCGGGGTAGGGGGTGGGGGGAATATCACAGGGAAACACAATACCCGGCAGGGTCACCTGCTGACCAGGCTTCCTGCCATGTTGCCCACCGCCCCCCTCATCCCACTGCCCTCTCAGCCTCCTCTTGCTTCTGCCTGGGCCTCCTTACCAACACTCTCCTTCCGGCCACCCTTGGGTTGGGGGGAGCAGCCTTATGCAGAAACTCTACCCCCGTCAATGGGTCCAAACAACAATATGAGGGATGGCCCAGGGCTAAGCCCCCACTCCTAATCCTACTAATGCCCCCAGCACAGGAAATCAGGAAATCAAGCTTCCTGCCCCAGAGGAAGTGCCCCATCTAGTGAACAAACTCACCACCACCACCACCACCACCACCACCACCACCACACACACACACACACACACACACACACACACAAACGCGCACGCGCGCGCTCGCACAGTCTGAGCCTTACACACACACACACACACACACACACACACACACACACACACACACACACACACACACACACACAGACGCGCGCGCGCGCGCGCACAGTCTGAGCCTTCCAGCAATAGCCCACACCGCACTACTGGCCCCAGCCTCAAGTCTGACTGAGGACAGGTGAGAGCTAAGGTGTGAGGGGTGGACACAGGCAAAACCTGCGCCAGGTCACGGAGACCAGAATAGGCACCAGCAGTTAGGTCTGGTTCCTGCCCCCCAGCCTGCCCATTCCCTGGCTGGGTGACCCTGAGCCTTGCATTAATTCATCTTCTCTAAGGTCCCCCCCAACTTCAAAATTACCAGCTCTTAATGAAAGACCAGGAGAAAAAGACAGAAAGGAGTTGGAAATTACATGGACTTCTGCCTTCCGGGTCCTTCGGCAAGCATGCCGACAGCTATAGGAGGTCCCCACTCTCTACTCCTACGTTGCGTGAATTTCTCACTCCCAAATGTCTTACAACAGGATTGGGTAAGATAAAGTTCCAATTCTCATTCCCAGAGGCCACCAAAGATGAAAACTGGGGTCCATTATCCTTGAAGTAAGTAGGGGGCATAAGAGCCCCCACACTGGACACCAAATACACCTCTTTATAATCAGCCTGCCCTCCTCTGCTATTGAAAGTGTACCTGAAATTTTCTTCACATTCTGTTGATGGGGAAACAGTTCTAGTGTCAAAGCAGAGTGACCAGTTTAGACCCTTGGGAGGGTGAGGGCCACTACAAGACCTGAGTGCACCCTTCCCAGACTCAGGGTCCCAGCTTGAGACCTGGCAGGCAGAGACACCCACCCACAGGCTCAAGTCAAGCAACAAGGCCTCAGGAGACCACTGCCCAGGGCCATTCCAGATGTAACACCAAGAGGCAGCTGGCCCCTCTGAGCACAAGGAACATCAGGGACTAGATGTGGGGGAGGGGTCCCACTGACTCCAGGATCTGGTTCCAGCCTAGGTTAATTGGACACCATAGTGGACTGCTTTGTGCCTCAGTTTCCCTCAGAGGTGCCTGCAGAGATTACTAATTAATTGAGGGCAAAGAGAAAAGAGAGCAGAAAGTAACAAGAATGAGATGCTAAGAGATGGCTTGCAGAAGCTGAAGGGACCTGGGAATTATAAGGGGGTTGGCATGAGAGAAGTGTGTGTGGCAGCCTAAGCCACTCCAGGGTCCTGGCCTATGGGGTCCTGTTAAGGAGAAATGGGCTGCCAAAGTGCCCCACTAGGGGGTGGAGGGCCGAGTCACAGCCTCCTTTCAGCACAGTGGCTGGGCAGGGGCACTGAGGAAGGTCCCCTAGGGTCCAGGTGCAAGGCCCAGGAACAGGCTGAGTCCAGGTGCTGAGTCCTCAGCAGGGCCGCCGAGAACCCATGCCGTGCTTCTCGCCCTACGAACTGGCAGGCAGAGCTGGGCCTCAAGCAGATGCTGGATGGCGGTGTGGGACCGATGGTCAGCAGCAAGATAGCTGGAGTCCAGATACAAGGGGAGGCCTGGGTCCGCAGGACTGCCAGGAGGGACAAAGGCATGGCCTGGGCATGGCGGGAGAGGCAGCAGGGTTGCAGATCAGACCGGAAGGGGCAAGCAGATCTTAGGCAGGGGGAACTGGGCGGCCTGCAGGTCCCGGAGAGCTTCTCCCAGCCCAAGAGCCTAGACGCTCCAGGCGTCAGAGCCCAGCCCAGCTGCCAGGTCTGCCGCCTGCCGCACTCTCCCCAGCACCAGCGGACTCCAGGCTTGGTCCTGCCCTCCCGCCCCAGTACACAGCCCGCGGCCCCACCTTCCCGCGCCGCGGCCCGCACCTCCGCGGCTCTCTCGGGCACAGGTGCCTCTTCGCCGGATGGTGAGCAAAGGCGGGGGACGGCGCTCAGAGAGGCCTCGCCGTCCTGACCCTCCCTCCGGGGATCACTCTCCGCCGCGGAGCAGGCGCAGGGCGGCCCTGCCGGGATCCGCGGATGGGGGCGCTGATGTCCAGCGCCGCTAGCCCTGCCCCAACTCAGTGGGTCCTGCCCTTTGCCCTCGCGCTTCCAAACCTTCCGCCCCGGAGCACCGCCCCCTCCCGAGGCCGCGGCGGCTGTCCCTCCCTTCCCGGTTCCCCGGCCCGTCCTCGCCGGGACTGAGGATTATGGTACGGGGACCTGCGCGCCGGCGGCCCGGGGCCTCCTACTCCCTCCCTCCGGCCTGTCGCTGCCCCGGGGCGGGCGGATGTGGGCGCCCCGCGGGAGGCCCGAGCCCTCCGGCCCCGAACCAGCTCCGGTCGAGAGCCTGCCGGAGCCCCGCGCAGCCGGGGGGCGCGGGCGCGGGCTCGGGGGGCGCACGCAGGGCCCGGCCCGCGCGGCCGGCCGGGGCCGGGCGGCGCCGCGCGCAGGGCGGGGCGGGGGCGGCCGCCTAGTACTCACCGGCGCGGCGGCTGTGCATCCAGGGGCCGGAGCCCTCAGAGCGGGGGGCTCATGGCGCGCCGGGGGCTGGGCGCCGGCCTCACATCCCCCCAGTCGCCGAGGCTGCGGAGCGACTGTGAGACGCGGGAGGAAGGGAGGGGGCCGGGAGGGGGAGGGCCCTGGCAGCCCGGCCGGCCGGGTAGGATGACAATGGAAGGAAATGCTTTATCTGAGGCTGAGAGCGGGCCAAGGGGGAGGGGAAGGAGGGGGCCGGCGCTCGCGGCCCTGGGACACGCCGCCCCGCAGACCCGGAGCGGGGCGCGCGCGCGGGCGGGCGGCAGGCACGGCGCGGCCTGACCGCGGCGCTGGGCTGCAAGGCAGCGCCGACCCCGGGACGTGGGACGCGGCCCCGACCCGCGCCGCGACGCACTGACCCGCGCACAATTCCCGGAAAGCCAGATACCTGAGCGCACGCACCCGTGCACACACAACGCACGCGAGCACACATCCGTGTTTACACCCGGCAGGAGCCTTCGCGCTCCCAAGTACAGACACGTAGAGCCCACAAGCAAACCACCACGCACGGGCACAGTGGAACACACGTGGGATCCCAAGTCCCGTGCTAGGAATCCCAGACGGACCCCCCACCCCCACCCCAAGAACGACTTGCCTGAGGAAAGTTCCAGGATCTGATTTGAATCACTGCCCAGCCCTCCCCGTCTGCCACTCCCACCCCCACGCCTGCTGAGGGGAACAGAAGGGTCCAGCCTGTTCCTATTAAAAGAAAAGGGGGCTGGGGGTGGTGCGGATTTTGAAAGTTTTCTTTTTTTAAAGGAATTTCTCAAGGGATTTCCTCCCCTCCTCTCCTCTTCCTCTCTTCCTCCCGTTTCTCCCCTCCCGCCCCCTCCCTCCCCGTCTTTACCCCTCCCGGTCCCTATGAGTCAAACTTCAGCAATGCGCCCAGTGTCTCCCAGTGCATTACAGCGGATCACAGAAATGTTCCAGTCTGTGAGTCGGAATGCGGCCGCCTCCAGCCCTCTCTCTGCTAGTAAACTCGGCTCCGGTGGCTTTACGCAGCAACCCTCCCTGCCCCCTCCTTTTAAGCAGGTCGAGGTCATATTCAGGGGTCAGGGGCTGCGGACCCCACCGCTGCGCTTCCTGGCCTAGCCTGTCGGCCCTGTCGCCTCTAGCAATCTGCTGGGTCAGAGACACAGCGGTTCCTGGGAAGGGAAGAGCTCCACGGCTCTGAGCGGGCTCTCCTGTAGTGTGAGGAAAGCACCAAGGCCGGTTGCGGCTTCTCTCCATCCCATCCTACCTCCCTCTGTTCTGGGAACCCCAAGATTCTCACAGTTCTGCAGAAGCAGAAACTGAGGCTGAGCCAGACAAAGAGGCACATCAGAGGTGAAGCAAGGGTCCACAGTGGCCTAGCAGGGCTTGGCCACGCCCAGGTCTAGCTTCTGCCCACTACTCCCTGTTCCTGCAAGCAGTGCCCTCCTCACTGCCTGTTGCTACCTTGGAGTTCAGCTGCTGGCTTCCTACTTCAGTCCTTTCCTCCCTCTCACTCAAGAGACAGACCCTAGACCTCTGCTTTTATTAAATTATCCTCACACACTCCTTTCCTGCCCTCCATGCCCTGCTACAACATGGCGCCACCGCATTACACACCTCTCTCTCCTACTGTTCTGCTCAGTGCCTCCTGGTACTTAATGCTCAATAATGTTGGTCGTTATTATTACTATTATTATTTCAGCCAAACTGGTCTGTTTGCAGCTCCCCATCATGACCAACTCCTGACCTTGGTTTATCTAGTTCCCTCCCAAAATGGACATCTTCCCAATCCCATTCTCTTCCTATGGAAATCTTCCCAGTCCTCAGGGTCTATACCACCTTCTCCACTTTCCCTGATTACCATAGCTACAGGGATTCTTTCCTTCCCTTAAAGTACCCCCACCCAGCACATTGTCAGTCTTTCTCTCTACATTGACCTTCACCCACCTACTCTATCTCAATTCTCCTTCTCTTTCCTGAGAATGTTCAAAGGTGGACATCCTCTGAACCCGGCTACTGTCTTAGCACAGTTCTTGTAGGGTCTTGCCAAGTGCCTTGCACAGAATTCAAGCTCCATGTGGGTTATTTGTTGAATTGAGACATTGGTTCATGGCCTTCAAGGACCATCCCCTCGCTAGACACCGCCACTGCACCCTTTTTTCCCATGCCTCCCCATGGTGACTTGGCAAGATGCATGTCCCTCCACCTCGCATGTGTGCTTCGCAGCCCTCACCTTCAAGCCAGACCTCCCTCCTTCCATATCCTTTCTCTGTGCCCACAGCCTCCAGAAGAATTGCTTGGTTACTTCAGACTCCCAGCCTTTCCCCTGTTGTCTCTGTCCTTTTGCGCCACAGTGTCCCCACCTAATACCCACCAGGACTCCTGTACCTATTTCTGGACTGAAATCAGGCCCTTGTTTGCTCATTTCTACCATGAGCATCATTCATCTGTTTGTGAGCCTTCTTTTTCTTTTTGACCTGATCACTGAGTTCTGAGAGATTTCAACAAAAAGGGTATCTCCCCCTGCCTCAGTCTGTCTCCACAGTGCCCAGCACATGGCTTTTTACACACCGCAGGACTCACTTCCCCCAAAGTATAGACAGAGAGAAAAACAGTATGTAAGATTTACATCTGGGAAGCTGGACTGTGCTCCTCTTTCCCCTCCTAGCTTTCCTTACCTCTCCATCACTATCACCACCCCCACTGTGGAGTCTTAAGCCAGTTTCTAAGTCACACATCCCCTGCTGGGGAATCTTAACAGAGCCACCAGGAACCCTAAGAGACATGAGGCCGAGAAGTGCAGACAACTTCTCTTTCCTCTACCCTAATCACCATGGGAAGTTTTTTAAAAGGCTCTTGACTCCAGGCCTCTCACAGACTGCCCAGCTAAGCACCCAGCTGAGGGGATGGGCCCTGGGAGACCTGCCTTGACTTCCTCAAGTCTTCCTGGGGGCTCTGGCCAGGACACAGCTTGAGGACTCCCCCCTTCTGCTTCTCTTTGGGGTTCTGGGCCTAGACCTCCTTCTCTTTTTCTTTCTCCTCTCCTTCTACCTTTTACTGACTGTTTACCATGTAGCAGCCTTCTGCTATCCCCTTGGGAAACATTAGATAATTTAATCTTAACAGTAATCCTTACGCTCATGATTAAAGAATGACCTATAGAGGTTGAGAAAAACCTGACCAAAATTATATAACTAGTAAATGATGGGGCCATTCATTAATTCCACAAATATTATTGTTGCCCACCTTGTGCCAGAATTCAAAGCTCCAGAAAGTTGTCTGGTCTAAACCTCAGGACACTGAGACCACTTCTGTCCCAGCCTTCTAGATGTGGTCACTGAAGCCACAGTTCCTCCCCTAAGCCGCACTTCCCACACTTCGTCTACAAAGCCAGTGAGACAGTGCTCGGCCCCAATGCCTCAGTGGGATTTCAGAGGACAGCCGTGGTGGGAGGTTGGGTTGGGCTTCGCATTTAAGTTTCTAAACCTGGAATCAAATGCTAATACACAGGGTTTGGGACTGGCAGACTAAAAGGGGAGGTAGATCCCCAAGGGTTTGTTTCAGGGGACCAGACATAGCACGTGGAAGGCAGGTGGGCAGAAAGGAAGAGAAGGCAGGAAAGGAGGGAAGGATAGGAGAGAAGATAATTAGGACTGAGTGTTCATTTGTATTATGTGCTGCTCAAGGCCCTTACACCTATATCTCATTATTGTCCTCAGTGTTTTAGTGAGCAAACTAAAGCTTAGAAAGACAAAATGATTTGCCCATGTCCACAGAGCCCGCAAGTGACTTAATCCCAAGTGTGTTGGTTCAGAGCCTGTGCAGTTTCTCCTAGCAGGTGGAAACAATGCAGAAGCTGCTGCCGGCATCCTGTCCCAGTGTGAACCTGGTCACTTGAGGTCCTGGCCGATCGGTGTGTGACATCCTAGATGCCAAGTTACCTCCCTCACTGCCCCCCACCATGCTGTCTCATCCCTGGTTCCCACCTTTCCCTGTTGCACTGTAAGTATTCTAGCTAGGCTTGAGGTGTGTGTGGCTTTGGGGTGCAGCCAGCTGGTCCTTCATCACTATTTCAGGACCTAAGAAGAGGTTATACATCTTCTTGGGCTGGATGTATTGGTTGGATAGTCTGATGGGCAGAATCAGATGAATAAATCAAGAAGAGGCTGGGACATGGCTGTAAGACCAGATGGCTCGAGTCGGGAGGCGAGATGACCATGGGCACCAGGCAGGTGGAGAGAACCAAGCACGGCCCTCCCCCCGTCCCCCTACAGTGTCAACAAGGTGATGTGGTTTCCCCTGTGGTCTGTTGCCCTAGACACCTGCAGTTCCGAGTGTGTGTGTGTGTCTATGTGCCAACAGTGTGGTGAGGGGACACAAGGAGAAAGCAGTGGGCCAGGATAGGGAGGGGCAAGAAGCCAAAGGCAGGGTCTCTTCAACCCCAACATAATGAAGGCAAAATGAACACAAAAGATGGTAGAGGTCACTCCCTTGACTGCTCCAGGTCCAAGTCAGGGACAATAGGAGAGAGCTGTAAGAGAGGCCTGTGAGTATCTGGGCCCTGGGCTGGGGCTGGAAGTCAGGGGCCTTGAGTTCTAGGCCCAGTCCTCCCATTAACTTCCTGGGTCACACCTTTCTAAGTCTCAGTTTCCTGCTCTGTGAAATAGCAATGTCTTGGCTATCTACCTCACAGGGCTGATATGAGAGCATACGAATTACATATGCAAAGTTTGTACCCCTGTGAGTTTTTGAATTGTTATAATTGCATAAGAAATATTACAGCTGCGTACTCTGGCCTCTGGATATACAACACACACAGTGGTGATAAAAAATGTTAAAGAGAATATTAACAGCCTCGGCCTTTGGATTACAATATGTATGGGGGAAACAAAACAAACACATAAAATACTCGAAAGCCTCTTGCAAAGGTAGCTATTTAAAAAATCTCATTATCTGTGTGATATTGGCCAAGTCACAACCTCTCTGGGCCTTAGTTTTCCTATCTATCAAATGAGGAAACTGGTTTAAATCCATCTCCACTTATTTTTCTGAGTCTGAAGCAATTTTCTGATTCTGTTATTCTGAGTACAAATGAGAACACAGCAAAGAGGAAAGACCAGCGTGGATCAAGGCCTGAATGAAATTGGGAAATTTTGAGCTGGGTTTTGGAACAGCCCAGATGTGTGAATCAGTGTTGGGGAGGGTGGGTGACATTCCAGGTAGGGAGCACGGCGTGTACAGGGCAGGCGAGAAAGCAGAGGGGTGGCAAACAGATTAGCTGGGCTCAGGAATGAGGT